CCTCATAACTATTTGCACTTACTTTTGTTAAGTAAATTTAAATGCTAAAAATTTATGTAATATTTACTCATCATTATCTAGTAAAAGTTATTAAGAATATAGTTAAAGATTTGTGAATAAATCAGGTAAATTTTACTTAATTTGATCAAGTATATGTTACAAGATTTAATTGATCTAATTAAGTAAAATTTACCTGATTTATTCACAAATCTTTAACTATTAGAGATGGGATAAATGGCTATTTGAAGGGATCCAGATCTTGGGGAGCCGTTTGTTTCACAGAGCCGTTCAAAAGAGCCGTTCGATTTTGAACGTATTACGTCATCACGTAGGAAAATACGTCATCACGTAGCCGTACTTAATGACGTCATCCCGTCACGTGGGTGGAGCCATGTGTTTGTCAAGCAGAAACCCCACTCCCCCTTCACTGTGAGCCTCTGTACTCCACAACTCCCCTGTTTTCCGTGAAAAAGCAAAGCGGGAGCGATTTAAGTATGAAAAACTACAAATGGCTCGTTACTGRRCACMATCCGGCTCCCATCATTCGTTGTAAAGAGCCGTTCAAAAGATTCGGATTGTTAGTGAACGTCACGTCTCTATTAACTATATTCTTAATAACTTTTACTACATAACGATGAGTAAATATTACATGAATTTGTAGCATTTAAATTTACTTAACAAACGCTAGTGCAAATTTGTTAGAGGATTTTTTTTTCAAGTACATCTTACAAGTTATTATTTTCAGTGTAGTTTGTAATTGAATATAAACGATAGCTGCCTTTTTCACAGTTTTATACCATTTCTAAGTAAAACAGGAAGAACTCACCTGACTGGACATTTCAGCGTTTTTCCTGTACAGTTCGGTGTACTTGTCTTCAGAGACAGGTATCACGCAGCCCTTCAGCATCTCTTTGTCATACTTGTACTCCACCTGTGGGCCAACGATGTGTGGAACATCAGAGCTAATGAAGCTGAGGTCGTTACAGAAGACCTGAGTTTGAAATGAAACCCTTCAACTCACGTCGCTCTGCTGCAAGGAGTTCTTGGCAGCGTTGACGAAGTCCGGCCTACTGGGAGTCCAGATCCACTTGTTCTTGGTGGCCTCGTACTTCTTCTTGTAGTCGAGCTAGAAGAAAGAAAGGCACGACGTGTTGTCAGCTTGTTTTAAGTTCAGCTCACAGCTCTGACAGACTTCCTGATCATGGCTGCTTACGTTGCTGATGTTCTTGTAGGCCTCTTTGGCAGCACGGATCTCATGAGCCTCAGGGTCCATGTTGATCTGGGCTTTGCTCCTCTCGTACACCTCCTTGTACTTCAGCTGTGAGAAGCATGGACAACACAACATCAAACATCCTGTGTGTAGTTGTGGTGGCTGTAGGTGCTGTAGATACTGTATGAACTGTAGTACTGTAGTACTGTAGGTACTGTAGGTACTGTAGGTACTGTAGGTGCTGTAGGTACTGTAGGTACTGTAGGTACTGTAGGTACTGTATGTACTGTAGGTACTGTAGGTACTGTAGGTACTGTATGTACTGTAGGTACTGTAGGTACTGTAGGTACTGTATGTACTGTAGGTACTGTAGGTATTGT